CAGGCGCACCTTAGTCTTCAAGCTGACATCTCTGCTTTTCAACACTTTAAGTAAAAAGTTCCTGTGCAGCAGATATGCCCAATGCAATACATCGTCTGATCGCTTGACTGCTGCTTCCACAAGTGTTGATAGTTGATCCAAGAAGAATGAAGTCCTTGACAACTTCAATCTTTTCTCCGTTGATAAGAAAGCCTCTAAAATGGGATCTGAACCTCAAAAATGGAGGTAACCTTTTAAATGAAAATATATTTGGAAGTCTTAGGCAAGAGGATCTTTTCTCCCAAATGAAATTATCTAAACCAAAAAGCATACTTGGACCCACTAATGAAAAGTTTTGTATAATATTTTTTAAATGGATATCAAATCACATTTACTACATCAAACTAACTCTATGTGGATAGTAACAAGCATGTTACTTACATGCATCATCACTACTTTTGATGTTGTTGTTAGGTGATTTCAAGTCAATTCTGGCTCATAGAGGCACTAGGCACAACACAATGAATACCGCCTGGTTCTGACTATCCTCACAATTACTGTTACACATGAGGCTTTTGCTGCTGTCACAATGCCAATCCATCTCACTGGAATTTCCTCTTTTTTACTCCACTTTAGCAAGCATGATGTCCTTCTACAGGGACTGGTCCTTCCTGATAACATGTCTGAAGTATGAACGATGAAGTCTATCCATTCTGCCTTCCAAGGAGCATTCTGACTATACTTCTTATCAGATAGATTTATATATTCTTCTGGCAGTACATGATACTTTTAATATACTTCTCCAACACCAGAACTCAAATGCATCAATTCTTCTATGGATTCCTTATTCACTGTATAACTTTCACATGCATCTGAGGCAACTAAAAATATCATGGCTAGAGTCAGGTACACCTAGTCCTCAAACTAATACCTTTGCTCTTGAACACTTTAAAGAGGTCTTGTGCAGCAAATTTGCCTAATGCCAATATGTTGTTTGATTTTTTTTTTTTTAATTGCTGCTTCCATGAGTGTTGATTGTGGATCTAAACTAATGTGAAGTCTATGACTTCAATTTTTTCTTCATTTAACATGATGTTATTTATGGGTCCAATTGTGAGAATTTTTTATTTCCTTACATTGAAGTGCAACCCATACTGAAAGTTGTGGTCTTTAATCTTCATTAGTATTTTAAGTCCTTTTCACTTTCAGCAAGCAAGGTGGTATCCTCTGAAGGTTGCTAATGAGTCTTCCCTCCAATGCTGATGCCGCATTCCTCTTCATATAATCCAGCTTCTTGGATTTCTTGCTCAGCATACAGAATGAATAAATATGGTTAAAGAATATAACCCTGGCACACACCGTTCTTGATTTTAAACCATTCAGTATCCCCTTGTTCTGTTCAGATAAACCTCTTGGTTTATGTACAGGTTCCTTATGAGGACAATTAAGTGTTCTGGAATTTCCATTCTTCAAAATGCTATCCATAGTTTGTCATGATACATACCATTTAAAGTTCTTTGCATAGTCAATAAAGGACAAGCAAACATCATTCTGGTATTCTCTGCTTTCAGTCAAGATCCATTTCACTTAAGTAATAATATCTCTTGCTCCACATCCACTACGGAATCTGGATCTTCTGTCAATGTTATGTAGCAGCCATTTTCCTTTTTTTTCTTTCCTGTGTTTTAATGACCTTTTGCTTTCTTTCTGTATAAGGCGCTATATCATTCCACAGCTCTTCTGGTCTTTGGTCATTGTTGTTGTTGTTGTTAGGTGCCATCAAGTCGGTACCAACTCATAGAGACCTTATGCACAGTAGAGACTAATGGTCATTAATGTCTGTTAATGAGATAATCTCTCAATTCAGGTGCTGTATGTTCAAGGTCATATTTTGGTTCTTGTGAACTTGTTTTCATTTTCTTCAGCTTCAGCCTGTACCTGCATATGAGCAATTAAGTGATCTGCTCCACAATTCACTTCTGACCTTATTTGTGCTGATAACATTAAGCATTTCTGCTGTCTCTTCCCACAGATATAGTCACAATTTCATTTCTGTAAATTCCATCTAGTGAGGTTCATGTGTACAGTCATCTTTTATGTTGTTTAAATGGTATTTTCAATGAATAAGTCACTGGTATTACAAAATTCTACACTATCTCCAGCATCATTTCTGTCACCATGGCCATATTTTCCAAGGACTGATCCTTGTTCTTTGTTGTCAACCTCCGAATTCTAATCACCAGTAATAATCGATACATCTTGATTGCATGTTTGATCCATTTCATACTGAAGAAGTTAGTAGAATTCTTCAATTTCATCATCTTGGCTCTAGTGGTTGATGCATAAATTTGAATAACAGTGGTATTAACTGGTCTTCCCTGTAGGCATATGGATATTATCCTATGACAGACAGCATTGTACTTTTATATAGAGCTTGGAATGTCATTTTTGATGATGAATATGAGGCTATTCCTCTTGAATTGTCATTCCCGGAATAGTAAACTATATGAATGTCTGATTCAAAATGGCCACTAGCAGTCCATGTCTGCTCACTTATGCCTAGGATGACAATCTTCATGCATTCTGTTTCATTTTTGACAACTTCCAATTTTCCTAGATTCATACTTTGTGTATTCCATGCTTCAATTATTATAGATGTTTACAGTTGTTTCTTCTTATTTTGAGTTGTGCTCCATCAGCACATGAAATCCTGAAAGCTTTACTCCATTCACATAATCATGGTCAACTCTACTTTAAGGAAGCAGCTCTTCCTCAGTCATATTTTGAGTTTCTTCCAACCTGCAGATCTCATCCTCAGATACCCCATACAGGGTGAGGAACCACGCTGTTTCTTCTTATTTTGAGTCGTACTCCATCAGCAAATCAAGTTCCAAAAGCTTTACTCCATTTACATAATCATGGTCAACTCTACTTTCAGGAGGCAGATTTTTCCCACTTATATTTTGAGTGTCTTCTAACCTGAGGAGCTCATCATCTAGCAGTATATAGGACAATGCTCCACAGCTATTCATAAGGTTTCAGTGGCTAATCATTCAGAAGCAGTCTGCCTCTCCTTCTTCATAGTCTGTCTTAGTCTATAAGCTCCACCAAAACCTGTCCAAATGGGTGACTCTGCTGGCATTTAAAATATGGGTGGCATAGCTTCCAGCATCACAGAAACATGCAAACCACCACTGTAAGACAATATGACGATGAGTGGTGGGCATCACCACTAGTTTCCATCAAGTCAATTCCAAACCATGGCATCCCGAGGTGTGCCAGAGTAGAGCTGTGCTCCATAGGGCTTTAAATGGCTGAGTTTTTAGAAGTAGACTGCTAGGCCATCTTTCTTCCAAGATGGCTCTGAGTGGGCTCAATGCTTAGCATTCATTTGCACCACCCAGGGACTTCAGTTAAATAGATGCTCTTAAGAAACCCATTAGTAAAAACAAAAGCATTGACAATCTGAGGGAATCTTACAGAAATGTTCTAGTATTTAAAACAACTAACACCAGAGCTCATCATGGCCATGACCCAGACTAGATTAAAATACCTAATTTTAATAGTGAAGGAAATTAAGGCATCCTCTCTCTCCTAACTACCCTTTTCACCAAACTATATCCAATAAATCTGGGTCTAGTGACAGCATTTTCTGGGCTAGGTTCAGTGTCTGTGCTCAGGGGACTTTTATATCCCATACCTTTCTTTGGTCTAGGGCCTTATTTCTTGCCCCAATATTTATCCATTCTTAAATTCCATCCTGCCTCAGTTGTCAATTTGCTTCATTACACATATGTGGACCTCAGGAAACTGGCAGTATTAACAGACATTCTACCTCCCAGGATACTCTGGATAGAGTTGCACAAACTGTTCTCTTACCAGCAACCTGTTTCAGACATTTTTTGTTATGGTTGTCAGTGCTACAAAGTCATAGAAGCCGTCATTAATCAAAAATTTCAAAATGTAAAACTACTGTTTCTTGACATATTCTCCATCTAGGTCTATACACTGAAGTCCTGGGGTGGCACTGTAGGATAAAGCACTGAATTGCTAACTGCACAGTTAGTGGTTCAAACCTATCAGTTGCAACTTAGTAATCCTATATGGAACGGGAGGGGGGGGGAGGTCACCATGAGTTAGAACCAACTTAATAGTGCTTAACAAATAAACAAAAAACCCTTCACTGAAGAATTTTGCACTCTTTGATTTATACTAGTCAAAACAGCAGTGCTGGTATCCTTAAGAGATTCAAATCAAGTTCCTTTTAAATGCTGAGTCTGGGAAACAAAAAGAACTCTGGAGGGGAAAGATCAGGGTTATATGGTTTTCCAACTAAATAATCATAAAACAGTCCTGGCCACCCTCAAGAATGAACAGGTATATTGCTGTGATGGGGAAAAAATTACACAATACAACTTTCCTGGCCTTTTTCTCACCACTGCTGGCTATGTCATCATCTGACAACACACGACAAACATCTTTTGATCCTTCGTGTGACCTCTGGTACCTATCAATGATTCTGGTTATTTGTTATAGCTACTAATACATACATATTTGATTTGTTACATCTTCCTGTATTAAAAACCCAGATTCAGGAGTCAGACTGCTAGAGTACAAATCTTGACTGTATTTTAGGAGATGCATAACTTGGGCCAGAGTCCAGATGTGGTGCTGTGGGCTAATGCATCAGACTGCAAAGTCATTTGAACTGCAAGGTCGGCGGTTCAAGCTCACCAGCTGCTCCTAGGAAACCTATACAGGGTCGCTATGGGTCAGAACCAACTCGATGGCACTTAACAACAACAACAACATAACCTGGGCCAGTTACTTAATCCACTATGCTTCTATTTCTTCATCTATAAAATGGGGTTGACAATTGTGCCTACCACAGAAATGTTTAAATGAGCTAATATACATAAATTAGGACAGTGTATCATACATGATAAACACATTTTTCTCACAGATTATCAACTATTCTCTAAGGAACCTGATGATCTTATTTAAGAATCTTCATTCAATTCACAATGAAAAGTTTAAAAAAAAAAAAAAAATGCTCGATATATGTCATGATTCAAACCAAGCAATGACAGTCTACTCTCAGGAAAGGGGCAAGAACATACATAGATACTCCCTAGAACACTGGTGTGCAAGGCTGGCTGAAAGCTGTCAGTGAGGCAAGAACACAGAACTTTCTGATACTATATGATTCACACTAAGAACAAAAAAGTAGCAGTTTACTACTACAGAAATTCAACTTAATTAACAAAATTAATCCAAAATGGACCAAGAGCCAAAATATAAAACTATAGAACTTCTAGAAGAAAATACAGAAGACCTTTGTGACTTTAGGATAGTCAAAGGTTTCTTAGACATGACACCAAAGTTCAATATAGAAAAGAAAAATTTGCCTTGGGCTTGCTTTGGCTGATACTGAGCTTTCCACCATCTCTTCCAATTATTAATGATGTTTCCAACTGTTTTTTTCTCATTTTAAGTTGTGTCCTGATCAGCAAATGAAGGTCCAAAAAGCTTTGCTTCATTCACATCATTATGGTCAACTCTACTTGAGGAGTAGCTCTTCCCCAGTCATATTTTGAGTGTCTTCCAACCTGAGGAGCTCATTTCCTAGCACTATTTCTAACAATGTTCTGCTGCTATTCATAAGGTTTTCAATGGCTAACCATTCAGCATTCTGACTCTCCTTCGTCCTACTCTGGAAGCACCACTGAAACCTGTCCACCATGGGTGACCCTGCTGTTATTTAAAATACTAGTGGGATAGCTTCCAGCATCACAGCAACATTGAAGTCACTGCAATAGGACAAACTGATACACAAATGGTGGATGTACTTATTATATGCCACTTATACCACAATAAAGCTGTTGCCAAAAAGCAAAAAAATAGAACAGGTGGCTTTAACGAGATGAAGAAGCAAAAGGATAGAAGTTGTTGTCAGACAGAGGTCTGAATGATGACAACTATCAGGAAGATGATAAAAAGACACAGAAAAGAGGGATCTACGGACAGACAGCCTACTTGGCACAAAAGAAAAGGACTGGTAGATAGTAAAACAATTAAAAATTATATCAAGTAAACAGGAGATCAGAAGACAGCATACATAGATGGAGGGAGATAGCATATCCAAGGGAGGGAGGTTTCTACAGAAGCTGACGATAATATCTAGAACTGGACTGAGAGAAAATAAATCCCACAACTTTATGCCCTTGTGGGAGTGAGAGGAGTCTCTAAGGAAAGCTAGGTTTCATGTCACCAAGGAGGTAAAAGAAAAAGGCTGAAGATGTAGAAGCACGGCCTACCTTAAGAAGAGAACTATCCTATGGCATATCACCAAAAAGTAGGTGAAAAGGGAATAAACAAAAAATAGTTATCACAGTGAAAAGGACCCCAAAGAGGGTTCTGGAAATGCACCAACTGAGCTGGAGCTCAGCCTGCCAGGGACATTAACCCTAGCCATCCCCTGGTACACACTGAAGCATGCAAAGAACCTAGATTCTGGTCTGGCAGTGACACATTTCTGAGGGTGACCATGTTCTTTCAGGATTGTACTGTGAGCTGACTGTGCGAGATCCAGGGTGTACTGCTAAACTCAGGAGAAAAGATTAAAGTTATCAAGGACTTCATTCTTTTTGGATCAACTCTCAACACTCATGGAAGCAGTAGCCCAGAAATCAAATGACATACTGCATTAGGGAAATCTGCTGCACAAGATTTTTTTAAAGTGTTGAAGAGCAAAGATGTCAGCCTAAGGACTAAGGTGTGCCTGACCCAAGCCATAGTATTTTCAATAACCTCATATGCATGCGAAAGCTGGACAGTGAATAAGGATGACTGTAGAAAAATTAATGCTTTTGAGTTATGGTGTTGGAGGAGGATATTGAAAGTGCCATGGACTACAAAAAGAACCAACAGATCTGTGTTGGAAGAAGTGCAGCCAGAGTGCTCCTTGGAGGCCAGGATGGCCAAACTTCATCTCTCATATTTCGGACATATTGTCAGGAGGGACCAGTTGCTGGAGGAGATCATGTTTGGCAATGGGGAGGGTCAGAGAAAAAGAGGAAGACCCCGGCGAGAAGGACTGACAAAGTGGCAGCATCAATGGGCTCAAGCATGGCAACAATTGTGAGGTTGGCCCAGGACCGGGCAGTGTTTCATTCTGTTGTGCATAAGAGTCACTATGAGTCAATATCAACTCAATGGCACCTAACAACAACAAGATCCCAATGAGGTCAATCCTACTGGTCCATGGACAATACTTTGAGCAGCACTTTGAGAGCAAGCAATAGATTTTTTTGTGTCTCCCAAGTCCAAAACAATGTGTCTCTGTTTTAATTAGCATATCCTTCCATGCTAGTATTCCTTGCTGTAAGCAATCCTAATATTATGAATTATATAAAACATTACCAAAAATTCAGTTTAAAGAAATCCATACTACTGAAAAAAACACTTAAAAACAAAACAATTGTTCTTACCTATACTCTGGTAATGCCATCGGTAGAAAATTCGTTCAGGTAGAAACTGCAGTATTTTCTGTAAAACAAAACAATATATATTAAGATATGAAGAAAACAAACAAATGAGATTTCACATTTCCACTGTAGGCCCACATACTTGATTTTATATATATATATATATATATATACATACATATAAATACATACATACATATATATAGTGGTTGGTAGTTATGTACTATGGAATTGGTTCCAACTCATAGCAACCCTGTATACGGTTTCTGAGGCTGTAAATCTTTATAGGAGTAGAAAGTCTCATCTTTCTCCCATGGAACAGCTGGTAGTTTCAAACTGCTGACCTTCAGGATAGCAGCCTGACTCGTATCCACTATGCTACCAGAGGCTTACCTTTTTTGAAATGTATATACATGTGTGTGTGTTTGTATACACACATTTCAAAAAAGGGAGAAAAACTATGGTCCTCAGTCATCCTTTGGGTCTGGAAATGAACTCACTCCATCGCTCAGTTTGTAGCCAAACAACTGACAGGTCTCTAAGAGGAGCAATAACACTGGGGGACTAGGCACACCTTAGAATAATCAAGCATTTGAGATCAGAGAGGCAGAAATTAGCCAAGGTTAAAGTTCAGAAGGTTTACAAAAGAAAGAGGAAAGGAAACAAAAAACATGGGATGGGGAAAGTGGGATACATGATATTTCACTGAGAGGACTGAAATCAATGAAAATAAAAGTGTGTATGCATTGTCTAATGGAAGACTGATTCTGTTCTATAAGCCTTCACCCAATTCAAAATAAGTTTAAAGAAATGATTATTATATTGTTAAGTGCCGTCGAGTTGGTTCCAACTCATAGCGACCTTGTACAAGGTTCCCGAGGAGCATCTGGTGAGCTTGAACCACCAATCTTGAGGCTTAAACAGACCTTGCAGTCCAGCACATTAACCCACAGCACCACACTATTTGTAATAACACAAACACTGTGCTTTATCTTGTACTCCATGTGATACTTTCTTTTACTTTCCTAAATATTTTAAAGAGATTAGTGAACCAAGTTTAATTCATCACCAAGGAAACACTACAGGTAAATTAAAATGACAATTTAATCTTAAACCAGAGCCATCAATTAATATATTAAAAAATAGCTTGTGAAATGGCTGGCTCCCAAGGGTTTAACCTTCTCCTTCCCATGTCCACTATATACATTCTAAGTACATAGATGAGGAATAGCATTTAGAAGAATCACATCAAAGGGTTCACCATGAACAAGTCAGTAGAACAACACAATAAAATTATTGGGGTGGGGGGGGGGGAATCTTGAAATAATAAGTTAAAGACAAGTTTCAGGGTCTTAGTTTTGAATCTCCTTTTAAGGAGTTATAAACTAACAAGGAATACATTTATAATATACGAGAGTATTCTTGTATTGAAAACTGCGAATAGCAGCAGAACATTGTCAGACATGCTGCTGGAAGATGCATTCTAAATAGTAGAAAGCATCAAAAAAAGATGGAAGGTATATACAGAGTCATTGTACCACAAAGAAATGGTCGACGTTGTTCAAACATTTTAACGGGTAACATATGAGCACGAACCAGTAGTACTGAAGGAAAAAGTTCAAGCTGCACTGAAGTTACTGACAAAAAAATATAATAATAATAATAAAACAAAGTTCCAGGAATTTACAGAATACAAATTGAAATCTTTTAACAAACTGAAGCAGAAATGGAAATGCTCACTTATCTATGCCTAGAAATTTGGAAAACAGCTAACCTGGCCAACGGATTGGAAGAGATCCATATTTGTGCCCATTCCAAAGAGAGGTGACCCAGTGAAATGAGGAAATTATCTAACGATATCATTCATACCACATGAAAGTAAAATTTTGCTGAAGAGAATTGAAAAATGGCTGCAACAGTACATGAACAGGGAACTGACAGAAATGAAAACTGGATTCATAAAAGGATCAGAATTGCAAACTGTGATTTAGAAGAGGATGTTAGACTATGGATATCATTGCTGACGTCAGGCAGATCTTGGCTGAAAGCAGAGAAAAATAGAAAGATACTTACTTGTGCTTTATTGACTATGCAATAAATAAGATCATGGTAAGTAGAGAAAAGACTAAAGTTCTCAAAGACCTAATTTTGCTTGGATCCACTACCATCACTCATGGAAGCAGCAGGCAAGAAACAAAAAAATGTATTGCATTATGCAAATATGCTGCAAAAGGCATCTTTATAGTATTGAAGAGTAAAGATGCAGTCTGAGGACTAAGATTCACCTGACCAAAGCGATGGTATTTCCAATCACCTCACATGTATGTGAAAGTTGGACAACATGGACGATAGGAAAAGACTAGATGCCTTTGAATTAGTGATGTAGAAGAACATTCAAATGCCATGGACAACCTAAAGAACAAACAAATCTGTCTTGAAGAAGTGCAACCAGAAAGTTCCTTAGAAGTCAAGATGATAAAATTACGACTCTTCAGACATTTTATCAGGTGAGAACAGTCTTTGGAAAGGACATCATACTCAGTAGAGTTGAGGAGGGCCAGCAAAACAAAGGAAGATCCCAAACAGAGGTATGCACAATGTAGCAGCAGCAATGGATTGAACATAACAACTGGGAGGGTGGCAGAGAACCCAGGGGTGTTTCATTCTGTTGCACACAGTGTCATTGTGAGTGGGATACCTAACACTACCACCACAAGAGTAACTGGCTAGTAAAATCTGCTTTCCATCAAATAAAACCAAACTATAAAAATGAGTTTGTCCCCGTCTTCCTTGGATGGCGGCTGTTTATGCTGGACGTGTGGCCAGAGACGGGTAAGGATCACGTGGAACCTCGGCTACTTAAGACAGAGCCATTGCCATGCTGCAATGAGTCTCAATGACTGGTAAGACTGAGGAATTCGCACTGACCACCTAAGACAGGCAGCGTCCCTTA